TATATCTATCTTACCAACAAACCCCTCCCCCTCCCCCCCTCCCCCCCCCCCCCCCCTCCACCCCCCCAAACCCACCCCCCCCCCCCCCCCCCCCCTGTTTCACTCCCCAACCCCAACTGTAAACCCCTCCCTACTACTCAACCCCTCCACCCTCCCCAACAACACCTCCACCATCCTCAACGCCGCACTCGGCGCATACTGCGGCACCATATGCCCACTCAACACCACATCCACATACGTCAACCCCCTCTCCCTCCCCGTCCTCCCCATCACCCCCGCCCCCGCCAACGTCCCCTTATCCACCTGCTCCTCATGATACGGCACATAGAACTCCCCCCTCGGCTCCTCCTGGAACCCCTGCAGCCCACCCCAGGTCATGTTCTGGATCGCCAGCAGCGAGCCGTCAGCTAATAAAACATAATCGAGCAGGCCGTGCGCGATGATTACATTCTGTGAGGCGTCGATGACGCGCGGGAGCACGGCGTAGCTGGATGGGAGCGAGGTGTCGGTGCCGTTGACGAAGACGTCGCCGGCGCTGCATTCGGACCAGGGCTGGATGGGCGCGTTGATGGCGCGTTGCACGTCTGTGCGGTTGAAGTAGACGGAGGCGCCGGCGGGGAGGTATTCGAAGCTTCCTGGGTAGCCGAGCACGTCCCAGAGGACGGGGCAGGTGGTGGCGACTTGGTAGATGTCTGCGCAGGGGTTGACGAGGAGGATGGCGTTGAAGATTTTGTTGAAGAGGTCGCAGTCTTCGGTTAGGACTGGTTCGGAGGGGAAGGGCCCCGGTGGGGGGTAGGCGAGGTTGGTGGTGAGGTAGCTGGTGTAGTTGCAGGTGTCGGCGAGGGTGTGGATTTCGGAGAGGAAGGTCGAGTTTAGGCCGAGGAGGTGGTTCCAGTAGTCGACGAAGGCGACGGCGGGGACTGTTATTTTTTTTTAGTTAGTTAGTTGGGGATGGTAGTTATTGATTGGGTTGGGTTGGATTGGAGATACGTACTCTGCTCTTGAATCATATCCGAGGCCAGCGAGGGATCGTAAATCATCATGCCCTTGAAATTATAGTAGTCTGTATCGTTCTGCGAGATGAAGTTGTCGCTGATGTAGGGGACGTAGTAGCCCGCGTACGACTCGCCGGTGATGTAGAGCTCCTTGCCCTGCAGGTCAAAGGTGTCGACGAAGTTCTTGAAGAAGCCGGCGAATTGCTCGGCCACGTCTTCCTCGCTGGTCGCGGTGGGCGTGCCCTGTGTGAAGCCGGTGCCGACGGGCCTAGATGGGGTTAACATAACATATATCAGGGGTGTGTATGTATATATGTATGGGGAACTCACTGCTCAACCCAAACCATATGCGCGAGCTTAATCCACGTCCACGGATTCTTGACCGGTTTGAACGTGCCGTATCTAAACATTCCATCCCGCTCAGCAAAATACCCCAACCAACATTCATAAAGGGATAGTTATACGAACTGCCACAAAAACGGCCCATTCTCCTGCAAAAACCCTTCGAGACTACTACACCCGGGGCCCCCATTCAACCATATAATCACCGGGATCTCCTCGGCCGGCACGTCCGTGGCCGTCGACGGGAAGAACCAGAAATACAACTGGCCGTCCTCGTCCTTCTTGTCGGAGATGGGCAGCAGGCCCGCGTACGATTCGCCCACGTCGAAGTCGACTTCGGGGATCTTGGTGCCGTCGACGGCGAATTCTGTAGAAGTAAATGTTAGTGTTATACGTGTATATTTTATTTTTATGTATGGACGTACTCCTCGTCTTCTTGTTCAGAAACCCATGCTCCTCGCCTGGGTGAGTCGGATAGCCGTTGTTCGGCGGCGGCTTGGGTGTGCGCTCGACGAGACGGCGGGATGTCATGGCTTCGAGGGATGGCATCTTCTTGCCGACATGTTGCGGGCTGCGGGCGGCGACGAGGCCGGTGGCGGCCAGCAGGGGGAGGAGGAGGGAGAGGGGGCGCATGTTGTTTTATTTTCTTTAGGGATGGAGGTTGGTTTGCAAGGTGAGAGTGAAGGTGAAGGTGAGGATGGCAATTAATTGATTGATTTATTGATTGCAATCAATAACACATTCCACACACCATAAACATAGATCGAGAGATAGAAAGGGAGAGTGCTTTCTCTATCCCGGACCAAAAAGGAGAAGAAGGCCCAGTCCACACCACTCAACACGAGATGGCCATGCGTAGCTTTATTATGTCCAGGGCAAGCTTGGACGGGGATAATGTAGGGTAGCATTTAAAATAATTGCCTAACATCAAGACGAATCAGCGGTGGTGGATAGCGGGACAAAGCGTGGATACTAGCATGGTCTTGGAAAGGCTTGTTCAGGGGTGTGGGGAATGGTTGCAGCGTGGGAGAAGAAGAGATGAGGGGGGCTCGTATCATAGACTCGTGAACTGGGATAGTTAGCTATGCATGTATGTTGAGTTAATATGGATGTCAAGGAAGTTGGTGATATACTTACAATTCCATCCATATCCTACATATCTCTATCTATAAAAATATCATACACTCACCTCCGAAACACCCCCCGCCTAACCACCACCCCTCTAGCCCCCTCCTCACCACAATCCTCACCATCGCCCACACCCCCCAACCCACTCCCATCCCCCTCACACCCCCAAACCTCCACCTCCCCCTCCCCCCCCTCCATCTTCTCCGCCACCCCCCTCACCCTCCCCGCCTGCCCTCTATCCCCACACTCCATCACCACCAAATCCGCCCTAACCCCCTCCGCCGCCGCAAACGCCAGAATCCTCGGATAAAACACATCCTCCCTCCGCACAGTCCCATCCACAGCGTCAATGTCTACAGACGATACAGGCGGCGGGACAAGGGCGAGTCTAGGCTCAAACAGCCGCACGCTGCGGGCAGTGGTTCCGTCGAGGAATTGGGCGGGGGAGATGTAGGGCGGGTTGGATATGAGGATTGTAATGGTGTTGTCATTACTATTATTGGTGGATATCTCGCTGTGAGCAGGCGGGCGTTCGGCGGGTTCCGATGGGATATTGTCATTAGTATCCCCGCCCGCTTCACTAGCAGCCGTACCCATGCCCGGAAATAACGCCTCTATCCCCTTCACCTCCCCATCCACACCCATACCCATAGATGTACTCGTAGATGTAGAACGCAACACATCCCCCCTCAAAAACCTCACCTCCCCCCTGGCCCGTTCACACACCGTCCCGAGACTCAGGTTATGTGCCAGATTCCGGCGGGCGAGGGACAGGGCGCGCGCGCTAATATCGACGCCGTAGATTGACAGACGCGGGAAGGACGGGGCGAGGAGGGCGTGCAGGAGGAGGGGGATGCAGCCGGTGCCTGTGCAGAGGTCTATGATGCGGAGGGCGGGGGGTTGGGTTTGGGTTTTTGGTTGGGGGGGGGAAGGGGGAGGGAGGAGGGTGGAGAGGAGGAGGTTTGCGGTGCGGGTTGTTAGGGATTCGGTTTCTGGTCTGTTTGTTGGTTAGTATGGAGAGACTCAATCCACATAGGTACATAGGTAGATATGTATGTAGATACATACCTAGGAACCAACACCCCCCTCTCACACAACACCTCCAGCCCGCCAAACGGCGCGTCGCCTAGGATATACTGCAACGGCACGCCGCGCGCCCGCTGTCTGACCATCTCCCGCAGCCGTAGCTGTGTACGGACAGCCTCATCGCCGCCTCTCAGCGCCGTCTTCCCGCATCTCCATCCCCATCTCCTGGCACTGGCAGTGCTGGCAGCATACTCCCCCAACCACCGCAGCTCATTCCTCGCGGAGGGCAGATCGCGACACTCGCGCAGCAGCAGCGGGAGGAGGGGGTGGAGGGCGTATGCGTGGCGGAGGAGGGGGGTGGGGAGGCGGGGCATTCTATACAGATATAATATACAGGGAGGGGGTGGGTGTGATGGAGAAATGCGAGGGGGGATGGGTGGCTGCATATAAAAACGTATGTGATCACCCATAGCAGTTGCCACCTCCACATCAACCAAGCATCGGTGGTCCAAGGGTCAAGATTCGACATTCCCAAGATTACCTAATATGTTCTCTTGCGGAGACATGGTGACATGTCGAGAACCGGGTTCGAGTCCCGGCCGATGCATGTTTTTTTGTTTCGATATTTTTTATATTGACTGCGATGCGGTGAGGGGGGTAATCTTTTTATTTTGGTGTTTATTGTTGATCGGGATATTTGTGTGTGGTTCATAGATGGGCAGAAGGGGGTGTGTATAGCTTCCCCCCTTCTCTACTGGGCGTCGGTTATACACATATATATCAGCCACCTCGATGCCAACGATATATAAATACTCTATCTATATTAACGAGACAGCTAGCACCTTACATACATCAAACAACTCATTAGAACCATCCATCCATAACCATAAGCATATCTATATCCATCACGCACAGGCATCAAGTTTACCCACGGGTAAAGAATTATCAACAGCCTAATTAATAAAAAACGAAGTAAAAGGTATTACAATAAATATCCCCCCCCTCCTCCCACTCTTAAACATCGCAACGCACACCGCACGGCATTCTATTCTCTGCCTGGTATATCATATATCACAACCCACCCACCCCAAACATAACGACCCCCAAAAACAAGCCATCTATCTATATATCAATATCAATCAGCAAACCCTTAAAAAAACCCCGAAAAAGAAAAAAGGACCCATCTACCCCTCCCTCCCCCACCTCCTCCAAAACCTCCACCACCCCCTTCCCCGCTCCCTCTCCCCCCTTCCCCCCCCAAATCCAAACCCAAATCCAAACCCCTTCCCATCCCTAATCCCAATCCTCCAAAAATAAACCGGCACCCCGGCCACATTAAACCCAAGCACAATAAGCGTCTGCAACGGCTCCGCAAACACCGCCCGACTCAGCAAAAACAAACTAACACAGCAGAAAATAATCGGCGTCGTGATCCACGTCTTATACGGCCTTTCTAACCGCGGCTCACGGATCCGCAGCACGATTAGTCCCAGCACTGTGAGGAAGTAGAACGAGTACCCCGCCACGCCGTAGAAGGTGACGAGGGTGCTGAACTCGCCGACGGCGATGTAGGCGAGGGATAAGGCTGCGTTGAACACCATGGCGTAGATGGGCGTGTAGCCGATGCCGATGTCGTCGCCGAAGGCGCGGATGAGCGCTTTGCGGAACCAGGAGACCTGGCGGAGGCGGCTGCTGCTGCTGCTGCTGGAATTGGATCCAATTCCGATCTTGCCGAAGATTGCGGGGAGGTAGCCCTCGCGGCCAGCGGCGTAGACGAGGCGGCCGCTGGTGAAGGCGGTGGCGTTGAGGGCGCCGAAGCAGCTTGCCGAGACGACCAGGGCGAGGATGAGGGCGCCGACGGGGCCGAAGACTTTGCCGCCGAATTGTACGGCGACGGTGTTGGTGCCGTTGATGGTGGTCGGGGGGAGGACGAGGAAGTAGGAGACGTTGGCGAGGAGGTAGCTCATTATTACGAGGGGCATGGCGGTGTGGATTACGCGGGGGAGGTCGCGGGTGGGATTTTTGAATTCGCCTGTTACGTAGTTGGTCTGGTTTTGTTAGTTAGGTCATGGTTTGATATGAATGGGATGGGATGGACCTACGTTATCCCATCCGTCGAATGCCCAGAGACCGGCGTATAGAGCCACCGCCCAGCTGGAAATGTTCGTGCTGGTCCCCTCAAACCAGTTCGTGGTCAACCATTGCCTATCCGCCTCCCCCTTATACGACAACCCCGTAGCCGCAACCACAATTCCAATAACAGTAACCCCCAACAGCGCCAGAAACTTGAAAAACATAAACAGATCGCCAATGCGCGTGCCCAGCCGTGTAGATATACAATTCAGCCCCGTCACAACCATCAACCCAACAATCGCCACCCCCTTATTAATCCAGGGATTTATCGTCTCAACCTCCGCCCCAACGATCGCCCTCACGACATACTCCCCAAAGATAATCGCAATAATAGCCGCGGAGCCCGGCTTCAGCACAAACACCGCCGACCACGTGAACAGGAAGCCAACCAGCTCCCCAAATATCTTCGCCAGATACACCTGCGCACCACCATTTAGCGGAATCGCACCGCCCAGCTCCGCATAGCTCGCGCCGCCAGTCCACGCCAGCACGCCCGCAACCACCCACACAATCAGCGACGCGCCAGGCGAGCCGACATTCGCGCTCACCTGGCCCGGCGACGAGAACACCCCGGACCCGATAATGAGCCCGATAATCAGTGACAGCCCGTTCAGATACGTCAGCGTCTTGTGTCTCTCCAACGCGCCATCCACGACGCCATTATGCCTCTCTAGCGAGAGGACGGAGGGGGCGCCTAGCGGGGCGTACCCGCCTGCGGCGGTCTGGGAGAGGGGGAAGAGGGTGCTGCCGAAGTCGAAGGCGGAGGAGACGGAGTAGGAGCGGGCATGGCGCGAGGACTGGGTGGTTTCGTAGAGGGAGTCGGAGAAGGGGTCTTGGTTTTCGAGGGATGCTTTGCGCGAGGAGGAGATGCCGGAGGGCGAGGAGGAGCGGGAAAGGTCGTCGGCGCCGCTGGGGGTGCCGGCGGAGGAGGCGAGGGAGGCGAGCTCGAGCGAGTCTCTGGAGAGGGCGGGGTTGGGGTTGGGGTTTGTGCCGCTGGGCCGTCGGGGGTCGGTGAAGGTGAGGGGCATGCTTAGGGGGGTGGAGGAGGAGAGGGAGCTGCAGCTGGCGACTAGGAGAATGGGCGGAGGATGGATGTCGCCATGCGGGAGGTCTGTAACGAGTGAGGGCCACGCAGCGGGGAGGCTATAGCATGTCGAGAGTCGCAGTGTGCCTCAGTGGTGGGAGGATGTTGATGTTGATGTGAAGTTGAAGTTGAAGGTGAACAAAGCGGAGAAAAAGGAGGAGAGAGGTGGTGTTGGCTGGTACTTGGTGGTACTTTGTTCCCGCGGTGGTTTGTATGGCACTCGATGTACCTCGAAGTACCGCCTAATCATAGGCCATCCAAGCTTTCCCCAGGGCCAAAAACATAAAAAAATAAAAAGAAACGAAACCAACCACACCGCCCAACAACTCCTCAATCAATTAAACAATCAATCGATTCCTTAATTCCTCAATTAATTATATCCATGCCCCCCCTCCCTCCCCCCCGGCCCATCGCCCTCCGTCTCCCTCTCCGCCTCCCTCCCGCCCGCCGCCATGTCTCCTCAACCTCCTCCTCACCCCCCCCCAAACACCGCCCCTACCTCCGCCTCACAGTAATCACCGCCCTCGCCGCCTCCCTCGGCTTCTACATCCGCCACACCTACTCCCCCTCCTCCTCCTCCTCCAGCACCACTCTAAACCCATACACCTTCACCCCCTACACGCTCCTCTCCAAAACCCCCGTCTCCTCCACAAGCAGCATCTTCACCCTACGGCCCCTCCACGACAACAAGGCTAACAGCACCGTCTACACCACCGCCTGGCACCGCGGCCTCTGGAGCGTCACGTTCAAACAGCCCCAGCTGCAGATTGGGCGGGATTATACACCCTTACCACCCTCTGTGTCTGGAGATGGAGATGGGGATGGCGATGATGACGGCGCCCTCCGCTTCCTAATCCGCAAGGACCCCTACGGCGAGGTTTCGGGATATCTACATAACCTGCCCCCCGGCGCGACGGTGGAGATGCGCGGGCCGCAGGTGGATTATGCGTTGAAGGGTGACGGGGTGGAGGAGGTGTTGTTTATTGCGGGGGGCACGGGGATTGCGCCCGCGGTGCAGGCGGCGTATGTGTTGTTTAGAGAGGGGAGGGGGAAGGAGAGGATGCATATTTTGTGGGCGTGTAGGAGGAGGGAGGATTGTGAGGGGGGGGTTAGTGATTGTTCTGCGAAGGGGGGGGTGGGGGGGTGGTGGAGGAGGGGGTTTTGGAGTTGGGGGGGTGGTGAGGGCGGAGAGGCGGGACAGAAACAGAAACAGAATCTGGTTGTGAGGCAGTTGGAGGAGCTGAAGGCGGCGAATCCGGGCAGGTTGACGGTTGATTATTTTGTGGATGAGGAGGGGTCGTTGCTTGGGAGGGATGCTGTGCTTGCTTTTACGGAGGGGAAGAGGATGCAGCAGTCTGATAGTGATGGTGGGAAGAAGAAGAAGAAGAAGGTCATTCTTGTTTCGGGGCCGGATGGGTTTGTTAGCTATCTGGCTGGGCCGAAGGTGTGGAGGGATGGGGTGGAAGCGCAGGGTCCGCTGGGGGGGTTGCTTGGGCGGTTGGATGTGAGGGGGAGGGGGTGGTCGGTATGGAAGCTCTGAATGGAGTGAGTCCGAAATGTATTTGTACTGTATGTAACTATAGATATATCCTCTCTGTTGGTGTTTTGCATGCATATTTAGCCGTGGAGTTGGGGTTGAATGACCTCCAGATATCTTCTTCTTCATATATCCCTTTCTAACACACCCTCATGTTGAACATAATAACCGTAAAATCAAACCACGATAGGGAAAACCCCTCTACACCCCCCCATTAGCATAATCATCCAAATACTCCACCAACTTCCTCACATTCTCCACCGGCACAGCATTATAATTACTCGCCCTAATGCCCCCAACACTCCGATGCCCTTTCAACCCCTGCAACAGCCTCTTCTCCCCGCCAGCCAGAAACTCCTTCTCCCGCCCCTCATCCCCGCCATAAACCCGGAAACAAACATTCATCCGACTCCTGACCCCCTTCTCAGGAACAACCCGATACACCTCCGGATACTTATCCAGCACCCCATAAAGCAGCGCCGCCTTCTCGTTCGCGACGGCTTCCTGGCCGCTCACTTTTTCGGAGCCGTAAGTGGCCACGAGACTCGCGATGACTTCACCGGCGATCCAGAGGTTGAAGATTGGAAGCGTGTTGTAGAGCGAGTTGTTCTTGGCGATTGTGCCGTAGTCGAAGACGATGGGGCTGATGACGCTGCCCAGGCCGAGGGCGCGGAGGAGGGACGGGCTGGGGGTTGCGATGGCGGGGGGGAGGAGGGATTTGCGGATTATGACGACGGTGATGCCGGCGACGCCGACGTTTTTTTGCGCGCCGGCCTGTATATAGTTAGCAATGGGTGTTTCGTGACAGATATGCCGCAAAGTCCACTTACAAAAATAACCGCAAACTTCCTCA